CGAAAAAATCCTGGCTTGCTGTCTTCTTCCTCTCTTTTTTTAACTTGGCACACACGTGGCCATTGTTACTTCTGTTTACTTTCCTAATCAGAAAAACATGTCAAACAAATAGCAAAGGTTGGGTCCGATGGATTTCAAGGGTAGCTGTGAGTGAAGTCACTGTTCCCTTCTTTTGAAATACAAAGGTGTTCTTTGGAAAAAGGCGGAATAGGTACCCTTGGGGAAGCACTGTACCGGAGAAGTTTTATTTCGGTAACCCTATCCAGCAGGGGCCGGAGAGGGAGAGAGAGGGACAACTCGGAAATAATGCCGGAACCAGAAGGGTCCTTAGGCAAAGGCCGAGAACTGGAGGCCTACAGGATCCACCCAGCCTGTAGACACGTGTTGTTTGTTCCTCGTAGTGTTTGATTAAAACATCAAATCCAGATTTTTGGCTTTTCTTGAACACTCATGGGGTTTGGCCACTTAAGCTTGTTTCCACAAGGAGCATCAGCAGCGCTGAGAGACAGCGCCCCCTTTAGGCAGGGCACGGGCTCTCTGATGTTGCACACCTAGTTCTTGACCTGTCCCCACACAGTGCTGTTTGCAGTTGCCTTCAGTTTCATCAGTTTTCTTAAAGGGGACCATGACCCCTCCAAGCTTTAAGAACGATATTCCAAGGCTGCCGAAACCTTGCACACAAACCGCTACGGCCCCCCCTCCACCACAGCAGGCCTCACTAATCGACCAGGACACTTTTTCCTACCGAGGTTAGACTCGGCTTCAGAATCCTTCTCAACACTGTTCTCTGTCGACAGTCACCAGAATAGCAGACTCAGCGATCAGGGAAAAAAATTTATCTGCCATTCCTGGAAACCCAATGGTCTCGTTTTTTCAGAGGAGGCGCCTAAGGCCCAGAGAGGGGAAGTGACTTATCCAAGGTCTGCCCAGCTTGATGATGCCATGGCCTGAGGATGACTGTTAGTGCTCATCAAGTCTCCTAATTCCAATTTATCTCCCAAATAAAACTTGAGTGACCTCACCGAACATTTTGGCTTCAGTAGGGCCAGAATGAAGGCCACGTCCCAGAGTTTCTGCTCCATGTTAAAGTACAGCCCAGCACCCGGCGAGCTCAGTGTGTGTTCCAGCTGCAGCCCATTGCTGTGCTGTGGCGTTCAGGTTCCCTCCCAGGGCCTGCGTGCGGAGTCCCCATGGCCGTGGGCCATGTGGCTGCTTAAGGCCACATGGTTATGAAGAGAGGACGTGCAAGTGCATGGAGAGAGTGCAGGTCTTGAATGAGAGACAGAGAGAGAGAGCTCGCAGAAGTGCTTTTCCTTCCTCTGGGGTTATAACCAGGAGTTTGAATTTAGGATGGACCAGGTGCTTTCTCAAAATGACCAGTCAGCTCCCAAGTTTTTGTGGACTTTGGATGGGTCCACACCCTCTAGTGAGACTGACAGGCCTCTATGGTCCAGCACCTCCCCCTGCGGCCCCCAGCAATGCGGTAGCCTACCGGAGGGGAGGAAGGGAGGAGTGTGAATGCCCTTGGAGGAGCAACGCTGTGACCCCCTGGGCTGTACAGCTGTACCTTCCTGGTGAAGCAATGGGCTCATGCTCCCCATTTTATTAAACTCAATGTCTAGTCCCCTCTGCTCCCCTTTCCTATTAGTACTTAGTTAAATACCAATGGTAACAAAGGGATTAAGAAGCGCAAATTGGTAGTTACAGAACAGTCACGAGGATGTAAAACCGCACAGGAAGCAGAGTCAGCAATATTGTAACAACTGTGCGGTGGAGGACCAACATTCTGCCACCCGAAGCTGTTTTGGGGGATATTGATCCCCAAAAGTTCCCCTTAAAGACTCAGCAAGAACTTTGGACCATCCCACCTCTCCTGCCCCAGGATTCGGAGAACACTGCTTCGGGAAGGAGAGTTCAGGGTGCCGCCTCAGCCCAGCCTGAATTAATCACGGTCCAGGAGAGGGCTTCGGCAGTGCCTGCTGGCCAGACCCCTCCGGTCCCATGGTTTCTGAGTCGCCCAGCAGGACCTTGCCTGCCTTGTGTCCTTCCTCAACTGCGAGTGACTCGCCCGGTCTCACGTCTGAACCGTCACACCCGGCTCCCCGCTTTCTCCTTTGTCCGAGATGTCTCACATGCCCCGTGTTGCCTCCCTGTGTTTGGACCTTTCACGGAAGGACCACGCCTCTGTGAATCCCTCATGCACCTGTTTGAAACTGATTTTTCCTGTTAGCCTGTCTCTGTGAATTCGGTTATTGGCCCAGCTTAGAACAACTCAGAAGGTGGGAAGAAAACTATTGATCTTTTACTAGCACCCACGGCGGTGTCAGATGGATACTAGGTTTATCGGGGAGATCATTTCATAAGACACATAAATGTCTAATCACAAGTTGTTTGCCAGGAACAAATATAACATTGCATGTCAACTGTAATTGAAAAATTTAAAAAGTATTTTAAAAAAAGCCTTTCAACTGTGGGAGTTAGGGTTTTTAACAACTCCCATGAAGTGTATAAAAAGTATGTCTATTTCATCATATGCCAACATCACTGTGGTTTTTTTTTGGTTTTGGCCTAATTTGATAAGTGAATTGTCATTTTTTAAAACAAAGCATATCACAGCATCTAAAAAGGGTGCCTACAGTAAAAATTTGTAAAGATATATAAATCCCCTTCCATAAAATATCACCACCGACTTTTGAATTTAGTTAATTATGACTATGTGAGGTTTTTAAAAGCAGAAAACAGCAACGACCTGGTGAAAGGAGGTCACCCCACCTGCGTGCAGGGGCCTTCCTTTCCCCAGTCCCGGGTTGATTCAGGTGCCAGTATCCACAGTGAAGACTGAGTCATCTCAAGGGGTTAGATGGCCTGACCTTACAAAAGCTGCTTCCCTGGAGGTCTGATTGGAAAGACCACCCAGGAATGTTCTTCCTTCAATGAGCCCCTAATCACGGCCTTGCTCTGGGCCCAGCACGGAGTAGATGCATCCAGCAGATGGCAGTGTCTCACAGGCCAAGGGCTGGCGAGGCCGGCTGACGGCGTGAAATGCAGAAAACCAGCCCCGGGACCTCCGGGGCCCCCGCTGCAGATGCGCCTAGCCCTCCCCAGAGAAAAAGACAACAGACTTCCTGTGTGGTGGCCCTATCAGTCCTGCCAGGGTACCCAGGGGACTCGAAGATCCTGGGCCAACAGAGCAGGAAGGGCCCTTAGCCATCACCTTGTCCAGTGCTACCCAAGGTGTGTCCAGGGACAAAGAGCGTCACTGGGGAACTTGTTAAGGATGCATATTCAGCCTGACTTCTGGTCATGATCACAGCAGGGGCAGACATGGCCCACCTCCTCACACAACCACATCAGAATTACAACTAAAATACAGACCAACCATCACTCAGAACCGTCAGAAATTAAATTGAATGGAAATCTGACAACTATGAAGTGGAGTTGAATGGAAGTCTGATAACTACAGAATTAAAGAAACCACATCCATCCAGACTGGTAGGAGGGGCGCAGACACAGAACAGGCTGGCCCCACACCCATGTGTGGTGAATACAAATTCGGGAGGAATATCTTGGAAGCAAGGAGTCCCAGCCCCACACCAGGCCCCCCAGCCCAGGGCTCCAGTGCCAGGAAGATAGGTCCCCACAATTCCTGGCTGCGAAAACCAGTGGGGATTGGTCAGTGGAAGAAATAGCTGGAGCCACAAGCGGTTCCTCTTAAGAGCCCACACCCACACTCACCTGCTCAGACTCACTCCCTCTGAGCTCCAGCACCAGGGCAGCAGCTTGAAAGGCACCAGTGGTGCACAGGGAGGGACTGAAGGATCTGGCATCAAGGTGAGCAGAGGCCATGGTCTCCTTTCCAAACCCTCCCCCCACAGAGCCCTCAAGCTGCTACCATATCCAACACTCCATCAACCTGGCTAACACTGTTTGTCCCACCTTGGAGATGCCCAAAAACTCTGCTGCACCCAATCTACAGGCCCACCCAAGCTGCTTTTCCATAGGAATAGTTGGTTTTGGTTCTGAATTCACAACTTCCTAAATCCTCTCAAACAAGCAACAACTGGCCTCAGTGAGCCCCAGGCCCAGCACTAGTAGCAGCAAGCCTAGATTCACAGCTTGGCATCACTTGGGAATCTCTAAGCTGAGCATGAGTAGCAGCCACCTCAGATTGCTTTGTAGCTCAGGCAGCGTGTCCCAGGCAAAACATAGGTGGGGGCTGACCTTGGCCTGCACCACCCAGGAAACCCCAGGGCCAGCACACCCAGTGGACAGCTACAGACCATGTTGGAGCACCACCACCCTGCCCCTGAACAGCTGATCTCCCACGGAAGGCAGAGGGTTGTGGTCAGTGGTCACAGCCAGTCCTTGCAGCTGACTGGCCTGGGTAAATCCTTCCCATTGACCTGCCAACAGCAACCAAGGCCCAACTCCAAGAGGAGGGTGTACTCAGCCCATGTAAAGGGCACATCTGCAGTACCCAGCTTGGGTGATAGGGGAAGCTGTGCCACTGAACCCTACAGGACACCTACTACCACATTAGGCCACACTACCAAAACAGAATCAAGAGTCAAAGCAGCTCTAGGGGCAAGGAGCTCAGCGCTACTGGCAGGTAGAAACAAGGTGCTGGCTGGATAAAACAAGGCGGAGGGCCGGATTCGGCCCAAGGGCCTGGTGTTTGCCACCTGTGCTCTAGGACACTCAAGGAAGAATAACCCTGCCACCCTCCGCCAGGCCAGCCCGCTCCTAGGCTGCGCCTGGAGTTCTTTCCCATCCAGAATGCCATCCATCGTCCATTGGGAAATGCAGGCGGCCGCAGCACGCTCACCCAGCATCCCAGGAAGACAGCCCAAGAGAGCTCGTTCTCTTTTTACTTCCATGCGCTCTGGAGGCCTGCAGCTTCTCAGCCAATCCCGTCCTAGACTGTGTATGGTCGCCTTGGCAAACTCCTCCCGTGGCCCCTCCCCACTTCTCTCCAGTGATCTGATCAGATCTCTGCATCACTTTGGCTGGGTCGTGCGCTCCCCAGGCCCCAAAGTGCCCACCACTCCCGCTGGCCCTACACCAGCATCCTTCAGCCGTTCACGCCATCCGCCCGGCACCCGCAGTCGTCTGGATTCCGAAGCTCTGGTCTGGCGGGGAAGAGGCGGTGGAGTGGAATGTCCTCTCAGGTGATCTGCATACGGCTGGCACGGCGTCCCCATTTCACACACGCAGAAAGTAAGGTTTAGGGAGCTTCAGTGACCTGCTTGAGGGCATTACATCTGGGCTGGACTGGAGCCCAAATCGCTGGACTCCAGGGCGCACAGCCCAGCCCCACCCTCAGAGTTCCTCCTGAGAAACAGCTCCACTGCCCTGGCAAGAACCTTGTGGCCATGGGGACCCAGAGGGGAAGTGGTGACAGGGACGGAAGACCAGACCTCCCCCAGGCTCACTCATCCGTGATGTGAGAGAGAACAAAAGCAAGAGAAAGCTGGTTGAGGGGCAGCAGCCGACAGCTCTGATTGGGACCCAGGGCCGCATCTCAAACACCAGGTCACCGGGTCTCCTCGGCTCCTGGCAGGCTCGGGCGCTCAGCCGCAGAATCTGTGAGTAGTTCTTTTGTTCTTTTATTTGGGGCTTCTTTATTGTTCCAGCAAACCTGTGTAGTTACCGTACCCCTTCCCTTCTGGGATGCAAGAAGCTGGGTGGGCCTGCCTGGGGTGAGGGACCGATGTCACGTGACGACTCCTGGGGCTTCTAAGGACCCGTCACAGGAAGGGTTAGGGCTGGTGTGGTCCTCGCCGGTGGACACGACAAGAGCCCTGTCCACCAAGGTCAGGGGACAGAAGGTGGTAATCACCAACCCACAGACGGCTTTACTGTGTGCCAGGCACTGCTCCGGGGCATTTCATCGACCGTTGACTGAATCCGCACAACCACCGCGTACAAGTACTATTATTACTCCTCGCTGTACAGAAGGGTGCTAGGCAGCTCACCTGAAGTCGCGCGGGCACTAAATGGCAGTGCTGGGCTTGCACGCAGGCACTCTGGCTCCGTGGTTTGCCCTGTAACCACCAGACACTTCTGCCTTTCAAGGCAGAGGCTCTAATAGCAGATGGGGGCCAGGAAAGATCCCCAAAAGAAGAGGGCTGGGAGAAGACTGAGATCATCTAGTGAGTCCAAGCGCCCTCATTTTACAGGTGGAGAAACTGAGGCACAGAAGGACTTGCACTCCCGACTGGGGCAGCTCAGAAGTGTAGGGTAGCCTAGTGCGCCCGAGACCCAGGAGACCAGGGGTTCCTTCTTGGAGGTTCCGTTCATGGGACAGTGGCATTTATGAGTACGCCCTGGGGTCGGCGCCCTGTGGGGGCAGACCCTGGCGCTGTCTCCCCAACCCCACGGCCTTGGGTAAGCCGCTCACTTCTCTCCCCCTCAGCTTGCGCCTCCGAGAAATTCTGCCCCAAAACATCACAGTGAGGCTTGTGGGTTGACTCAGTGACGTGGGCGCCGGGATGGGGACCTGCGCTGGGCTCAGGACGGCTGTGGTAGAGATTTGGGTCTTCACCCCACCTGTCCTTGCTGTGGGTGAGAGATGAGATGAGGCCACGGCCGCTTTTCCCTCGAATGCGTGGCATGTGGACACCTGGAGCCCCAGGGCTGAGTCGGGGGAGGGACTGGGGAGACCCTGGGAGGTGGCGCCCCAGCAACTCTGGCCCCAGCTCTGAAACCACTTTGCGGCTCCCCCGGAGGGGGCCCCCTCACCTGCCCTGGGGCCCAGCATCGATTTCTGCCAACAAAGCACATCCTCTGCCCTTTGGCTGGCTACGGATATGGAGGTGGTTGAGGGGGCACACTGGCAGCCCAGCTCGGCAGAGCAGAGCCCTTCAGTGCCAGCCTCCCCGCTCCTCACCTGGTTCCACCGCTTCATCTCACTGCCTGCTCTCAGATGTGCGTAGAAATGCTCTTTGATTCATTCTTATTGTGGCACATTTGATAGAACTCTGAGCCCTCATCTTACTGGGCTGGTGGGTGATTAAACCTCAGTGTGCGCTGAGCACCCCCCGCCCCCACCCGCACTTTCCGGCACGGAATGCTGCCTCTGAGGGTCGCACACAGAGCACAGTGTGAGCGAGGCCCCCGGTCTTCGTGGCACGCCAGCTCCTCCTAGGGTGGATGCCCTTTGTCCAAAGGGCCTTGGTCCCCTGAAGTCCAACCCGATCCACTTTCTTGGCTTGCCTGGAGTCCAGATTCTTTGTCAAGATTCAAATTCACTGTGTCTTCGGTCCAACCTCCAAGGGGTGCCACCCTGGCAACCTCCCCAGAGGACCGCCATCTCCTCAAGGCCCTTCCAGGCAACAGAGCCCAGGTCCCCAACTCTCATGGCACCGTGACCTCTGGCCCCTTACCTCTCTGGGCCATCTCTCCTCTCCCCGGCTTTGGCTCATACACGCGGGCTCCTCTCTCTCCGCCTGCCTGGGACACCAGCCTAACCTTCTCGCTGAGCTCAGGTTTTTACAAAGGACAGGAAGAAAGGCTGTCTTCGAATGGCTTCTGCTTTCTACTCTCACCCCCGCAAAAAGTCCCTGAGCCAGGAGATACGTAGGGCGCTCTTTGAAGGGAGGCGCAGCCCTAGCTCCCAGTGAAAAAAACTGAGGCCAGCAGGCGGTGGTGATTTGTGTGGAGCCCAGCTCTGTGGGCGCCCAAACCTGTGCTCTCTCCCCCGAACCCCGCAGAAGACCTAAGCCCCCTCACCAAGTAGGCAGGCAACTTTGGAAGAGTTATATCTCCTTTTCAAAACTCAGTTTCTCCAGTTCTTAAAAATGAAGCTGTAAATAGCATTACCAACCTGCCCCAAACGGGTGCTTCTTTATTTTCATAAATTAACATTTATGGAGCATTCACTACACGCCAGGGCTCTGCCAGCACCGAGAATCCCCTGGTTCAATCGGCGCTACAGCCCTCGAGGGAGATGCTGTCACTGCCCCCACTTGAGAGGTGAGAAACTGAAGCTCACACGGGCGTGCATCCGTGTGAAAGTTCACATGGCTCGCGGTGCACCGCAAAGCCAGCACACAGACCCCGGTGAGCCTGAATCCACAGTGGTGCTCTGTGGCAAGAAAGTGCTAGCATGAGATAGATGCAGGCTCGAAAAATGGCCAGCTCTCTTCCAGCAGAGCTCAGGAAAGGGTAAAACCACTCCCCCTTCCCTCCATCTCCTGAGAAGGGGGGACATCCGCAGAGCATGGTGTGTCCTGCCCCCAACCCCATGCCACAGGAAAGGAGAGCCCGAAGGCCAAGGAAAGAAAACGGCAGACAAAGGCAGATCCTCGGGGTACATGGACCAGATGGGGAGGAGCCCCCAGGCGTGGAAGGGAAGGCTGCTGGAATCCCACCCCAATGGGGAGGATGTTGGCAAGACCTCGGGGCAGAAGTAGGTTGGGTTGGGTGTCCTGTGGGTTTTGCTGTTTCCCTCCTCCCCAGCTGGCTCCCACCCCTACAGGGGAGGCCCCCAATTTTCTGCTCACAAAGCAATTAGAGGTAGCCTGCCCACCAAAGCCCCCCACCCGCCTCTCTCTGGGGATTGGAGCCACCCCGAAGTTCCTCTTTGAGAGCCACAGCTGCGTTCGTGGCGTTGCCTCTGCCAGAATTCAGTGCGTCTGCTTCGGTGCATCTCGTGGACCTGTCTGGGTCCCGGGGGACCCGGCGGAGCTGGAAGCAGGGACGGGTGTCTGCATGGGGCCATTCTTAATAATACTCACTTAATAGGTGAGGCTGCCAAGGTTCAGACACGGCAGGTCAATGGCAGCGACTAGAGTCAAATTCAGGTGTGTCCTTCCACTACTTCACCAGCTTTTCCCAACAGGTAAAGAGGTATTCCAGAAGGTTCACATCATGAGAGGATCATGGTGCCTGTTTCCATTTTTTTTTTAAGATTTTGTTTATTTATTCTCAGAGACAGGATAAGGAAGGAGAAAGAGAGGGAGAGAAACATTGATCAGTTACTTCTCACACGCCCCCAACTGAGAACCTGGCCCGTAACCCAGGCATGTGCCTTGACATGTGAACCGGTGACCTTTTGGTTCGCAAATCGGCACTCAATCCACTGAGCCACACCACCTAGGGCTCTGTTTTTTAATTGATGAATAATTATTTTACTATTTAAAAGCTATTTTTCCCAGCGTGAGAGTTTCTTAGGGTAAATAGAAGGACCAAAAGCAGCAGTTAGGGTATTATTCTAAGGGAAACCAGTCAGACAGAAAAAGGTAAATGCCATATCATTTCACTTACATGTGGAATGTGGAAAAATAAAACAGAGGAGAAACAGATCCACAGACATGGAGCACGAGCTGAGGGTTGCCTAAAGGGAGTGGACAGAGGGGGTGGGTGAAATAAAAAGTATTATTTATGTTAAGGGGAAAATATATATATTAAAAACTTGTGCATTGTGGGAGCTACTGCAGGCCCACTCAAGGTCAGTAATCCATTCCGCTCCATCTATTGAACACCCCCCACCCAGTGTACAAAGTTGGGATGGAAGGCTCCGAGGGCGTGGGGAGGACAAGACAAGGCCCCCTCCTGGGAAGGAGGGAGAACAGACCAATAAACCCACACAGGCAGCAGTGAGAAGTGACCAAGCCAATAACGGTCTCATGGCTCCTGACCTGGCTGCTTAACATTTGGCCCCTGGAGTGGCTTTGGGGGACATGTGGTCTTATCTGGGGGACATGTAATTTATACCCTTAATAAACCAATGATTGAAGACAGGAAGGAAAAGAAACTCTGCCACCCACACCGTGTATTCCCCACAACAGCCCTGGTGGAGACACTGTCACCGTTCCCATTTTACAGATGAAGACACTGAGGCTCAGGGAGGGGTGTCATCTGCCCAAGAGGCTACAGATTTAATGAGGAGCAGAGTCAGAACTCACAACTGGGACCTAGGGCTGCATCTTAAACCTGTGCAAGCGTTTCCTCCTTATCCTTCCCCGTTAGCCGCCTCTCTTCGCCGACGCAGGCGATAGAAATCCAGTCACCCTGCACGTTGGGTGGGATCGGCACGGCCACTGCAGGTCCACCACCAAACCCAGGCCAGAAGGGGTGATGTGCTTTCTTCCTCACAGCCCTACGGCCCAAGAGCCAAACAAATCCACAAATGCATGCAAATTCATTCTACTCTAGTCGGGTAGGTGGAGCGGCCATGAGGATTAGCTCCGCCGACGTCAGCCCCTTCTCCGCCTCTCCTCATGCCTCCGTGGCCTGAGTGCCCACTTATCATCAGCCTCTGTCCAGCGGTCCCTGTGACCCTGCAGCCACTTTGTCACCACTCACAGATCCTGGTGGCCTGGAGCCCCGTGAGTCAGCCACTGGCTTGTGCCAGTTTGCTCCATTACAAAGTGGGAGCGGTAGCAGCCCCTCGTCGGCTTGTCAGGAAGGGTATATGACTCAGCGTGCGGAGCGCGCGGAATGGTGCCGGACGCAGCATGCAGTGAGCACTCACTCAAACCGGCCTGCTGTCATTGTCACGGTCACCAGTGTGTTTCCAGAGCTGAGCCTCCAGGGCTCTTCACACCATCCTCGCCCATCACCCCACCTCTGCTCGGGGAAC